AGCTTGCTTCCTCGGCCTCCCTAGTTTTGATTTAGGGTCTTTCAACTGGCCTTTAGGCTAGCTAGATCTGCTTCCTCATCCCCTTCTATTGTTGGAGGTCTTTATTGGCAGAGACTTGCTAGATGACAGAGCCAACTCATTGATTTGAGCTCTTTCTCTGTCTCTTGAATTCCACCAGGAAAGCTTTTCCTCCTTCCCTTTCAATTTGGCCAATGGTTCAATCATATTATTGGATATTGAACTTTTTGGTTTTGTTGGTTTCCTGAGTTTATGTCTATATATCAATCTGCCTTTTGACTAGCCCAAGCCAACTTGGAGCGGCAACTAGAGCTAATTGAGACTCATCAGCAAGTTTCGATTGGAACTGTGGTGGTGGGGTTTTGATTCAAGCAGTTTGGACTCGCGTGTTCAAAATAGCGCTCTCGCTATTTTGCGAACCACATTTCGGCATCGCTATGTTAGACAAGCGAGTCCGGGGTTTTTTTTACACTGATAGACTATACAATCCCACTTAATCTCCTTCTTTACCAAACATGGGTTTTAAGTATTATATAGCACAGTCCAGTCCAGTGAGGCATACCAAACATGCCTTTAAGGGATTAATCGTTTTATTATTCTTTGAATTTGGACCTGATTTGCATTTGAGTCCTCAATTTCCAAAATCGTTCTCGTGGTCCTTTAACTTCACTTTAGTTAGGACAAATGGTCCTTCAATCAATGTTGTTAACTTTTTCTGATAAATGCAGGGGCAAAATGATATTTTTGTATTAAATTGATTCAAATATGAATAAAAAATTTAAAAACTAAAAAAATTAAAATTAAACTCTCTATCACCCCCTCTATCCCGATTTTTACTCCCCCAAACTTTATTTTATATTATATTATTTTTTTTGGTTTTTTATTTGATTTTCTTGTATTTTTATTTTAAAGATATGAATTTTTATAATTTAATGGAGTAAGTATAACATAACAACCATTCAGGTGCAATACTAAACTTTTTTCTAAACCAAACTAAATGAACTTTCCACTTAGACCATCTCACCTTCGAATTTGTGACGTAACCTAACTACTCTCAGAAGCCAAAATAGAGGTAGTTGAAATAGAAGACCGGCCCAAATCTTGACTTGAGCAAGTGTGCAATTTATTGTTCTATGTTGTTAAGTGAAGGGTTTCTTGTGGCTGCTAGTAGTAGCCCCATGTGCTACCATCTATCAAACTCAAGCCATCAGTTCCTATCATCCTAATTTCTTGGTTTTAACTTTCTGACAAATAAATATAAAATGCAGTTTTAAAACCAAACAAGATATATAAGATAAGATGTTGGTTTCTTTGAGGGTACTCTACTCATAATTTCTCTCCCTATTTTTTTTAATGAAAAACAAATGAGTAGTAGATAATTATGATGACCAATAATTATTTAAGATACTGTTGAAGACTTTTCTAGACTACTATGCATGCAACCTTTAGCTCTGCATTGTCGGTGGAATCTCTTCTTCTCGCTTCTAGATTTTTCTAAAGGATAAATTACTCAAATTGTCCTCAAATTTGTACTCGATTTACATTTTGGTCCATAAACTAAATTATTCGTTCAAATGGTCCATCAACTCTTTATTAATCGGGACTTTGGTCCTACCGTTACATTTTCTGTTAAATTTATTCATGTGAGCAGCACATGCTACATTTGTGGGGGGTAAATAAGACTTTTGACAACTAAAAAATAAAAATAGATTATTAAAAATTAAATAATACAAAATTTTCTTTAATTTTAAAATTAATTAAAAACAAAAAGTAACCCACTCCCGATCCTTCCCTTTCTTTCTCCTTCCCCTTGCGACCCCCTCTGTCACCTAGCCCCCTCTGCGATTCAAACCTCCATCATGTAACTATGAGATATTGCAGCCATCGAAGCTGAGGTGATGCCCTCACAACTGTGATGCCCTCCCCCCTCATCTCTCTCTCTCTCTCTCTCTCCATCCTCTCTCTCTCTCTCTCTCCTCTCTCTCTCTCTCTCTCCATCCATGGTTATTGTTTGTGCAAATAATCTCACGGGAGAATATTCGCTCCTAGATCATTCAACCTTCGATCTTCCTTCTCTCTCTTCCTTGATTCCTATAAAAAGATTGGAGTAAACAGACCACACCCGGGGGGTGTTGGCCAAAGGCCCTCCAATGCCTAAGTTAGTTCGAGTGTTTGTAGAAAAACAATAGCTAAGCAAAGGGTACGGAGTTTATGTAGGGTGTGAACTGGGCGGCCGGAGCCGTGTGGAGAAAATATGGAGAGTGGAGAGGGAGAGAGAGCTTCAAGTATTTTTCTCGGGTTTAGGAGTAGGTTTAGATGAACCTTGAATGATGAATGAGGTCGTCTATTTATAGGAGCCTCGGGGCTAGGGTTTCGTAGAGAATATGCTGAGTTTATTCTCTACCCAAATTCGTAGGGATCGAGTCGGACTTAGATAATATCTGATTTAATGATATTATCTTCTCTTTATTGAAGATAATATTTGAATTAAATGATATTATCTCTTTTTATGAAGATAATATATGAATTAATGATATTATCTTTTCTTTATTAGGATAATATCTAAATTAATGGTATTATCTTATTAAATAAAGATAATATCCCATTAATTAAGATATTTATCCCAATTAATTAATTGGTCAGATAAATTGGTTTAATTAATTAATTTAAGAGATAATCTTCTTTTCCACGTGGCGTGCCCTGATTGGAGATGAAAATATATGCTCCCACTGTTATATTAACAAATCTACAAATAAATTCGCACAACTATTGTAATTAAACCTGCAAACTAAACCAAGAACCACCACCTCCAACCCCACAAACCCACAACCCAAAACCCTAGCCCCCACGAACCCAGACCCACAAAACCCATCATCTCCCTACGAATTTGTTCTTCCTCTATCCCCATAACAGAAAGCAAGCTCTAAAAGCCTTGAAATTTATTCTGCGATTGTTGACGAAGAAGGCCTGAAAATTCATTCAATTCAAGCTCTCTCTCACTTTGTCTCTCTATTTCTTTTAACTCTTGTTTTCAAGGTTGTACACGGAGGGAGGGAAGATAGGGTGGGTTGTGAGGAAGAAAAGATGGGGGCGCTGGGGCAATGGTGATATCGAGTTAGGGGTTGGGGGCTGAGAGTTGGGAAATAGTTTTTTTTTATTTTATTTAAGTTTTTTAAGTTTTTAATTTATCTACTATTTTATTTAACTGGATCATTTTACCCCTATATTTGATGGCAACATTGACAGAATGTAACGGTATGACCAAAGTGCCGATTAATAAAGAGTTTATGGACCATTTGAACGAATAAGTTAGTTTAGGGAATAAAATGTAAATCGGGTACAAATTTGAGGACCATTTGAGTAATTTACCTTTTTTCTAAATTATATACTTTAAGTGTTGACTATTTTCCATGGGTTAGGCTTTATTTTCCTTGGGCTGAGTTAAGTGATGTGCTTATGTTGATTTTTAACACTCCCCCTTAACTTTTCAAACTTGCTGATGCTCAATCCTTTTGTGAACAAGTTCACAACTTGATCATCTGTACCAATGTGTCTCATCTCAGTCTCTTCTTGTAGAACCTTCTCTATGATAAAATGGTAATGTATCTCCACATGTTTGGTTGTGAAAGACTGGATTTTTAGCCAAACGAATTGCCGATTAATTGTCACTATATAACGACACTGAATAATCTACCAATTGATGTAGATCATTCATCAATTGTGTCAGCCACGTGATCTCTTGAGCTGCCATTGTTGTTGCCATGTACTCTGCTTCCGTGGTTGATAAAGATATTGTCGGATGGCCCTTGCTACACCAAGAAATTGTTCCTAAACCAAAATTAAACACGTACCTAGTAGTTGATCGACGAGTGTTGTGATCTTCGGCATAGTCAGCATCGCAATAACCAACTAGCTTGCAATCTTTACCTTTCTTGTACAACAGACTATAGTCAATTGTACTCTTCACGTACCTCAATATTCGCCACACTGCATCTAAATGAGACTTCATTGGATTTTGTGTTAGAAATATGCCCTTAAAGTCAACTAATTATGTAATAGTTAGAATTAAGGACATCTTTGATAAAAGACATTATGTTATCAATGGGCAAGAAAGGTTGTTTAATACATTAATCATCATATATTATCTTTTAATATGTAGAACAACCATAGTCCAAGAAATACACAAGTGGATATGAGAGCTATGTAATGAGATTGCATACATGGAGACTTCTCATCATCCCTAAATCCTGAATATGTTCCTGGTAATAGGAATATTAATTGGGCGTCAATATTCCACAAAAACCAGTACACACAGTATCGTCTCTATATGTAGGGAATGGTAAGGTCTCAATTCATTAAGTGTGGAGACACATCGATATGTGTGTAGGTGCTAATAGAAGAACAAATACACTGAACACGATCCAACACATGAGTTACAGCATGGAAGTCTTTACTCACATGTCAAGCTGGAACTCATAAATTGCAATGGTGCAAACTGATCCTTAGACATGAGGCATCATAGATGTTTTGTGACTATGTTGTTAATCTTTGAGGGCACTATATGATCATGCTGAATTAGACATATCTTAAAGGTGCTCATCAAGATTCTCAATAGAGTCATGTAAGCAAATGAATGTACAACAAGGAATCTCTACTCTCAGTAAAGAAGATAGAATACTCCAAGTCAAATCTATGCGCATAGTAATGGATAAGACTTAAAAGAAGAAGTCTTCAAATCTTACCAGGATAATCATATAAAAGGAATGATTCACATTAGGATATTGACAATCAGATTCCATGATCTAATAATGTGAATAAGGAGTATTGACATAAAAGAATTAGGTTGTTAATGCTCTTTTTGGGAGGTCAACTTAGAGAGAAATGAATAGTCTTCAGCAGGAGAGAAGGTGAGGACCTTCGGTAAGGGAAGAGCCTGCAGAAGACAAAGTAGGAGAAGTAGTCGTCAAGCTTCGGACACCGGTATGGTACCGGCCGAAGGCTCTCCAATGCTTAAGTCAGCTATGAGTGGTAAATTTGGTAGAGTAACAGTAAAGGTAAGAAAGTAGTTATCATTTTTATTTGGGTACTGTTCCATATTTATAAGGAAGTGAAAATGAGAGATTTGCACAAAGTTTCGATGTAGGACTTTGTGCAAGTTGCTGTGGTGGTGACACGTGTCTTGGAGATTAAGTTCGGCAGTTGGGAGCTTTGGCAGTCGGGAGCTTTGGCAGGTGTCTGGCACCTCGGAAGAGTGTCTTCCTTCGGCAGGGGAGAAGGCGTGTCTACCTTGGTGCTAGTATTTTTTAGGCTGGATATGCTCGGTTGATTATGGTGTAAACATAGGTCGTCTGAGATGATATAAAAGGCTAAGGCCATCCTCCGTGAAAGGTATGCAATTCTAAGCACTAGAACCTATTGTGCAATTTATTATCAAACACTCGACTAACTTAAGCATCAGAGGGTCCTTGGTCGGCACCACACCAATATCACCCACTGAAGCTCCCTTGTTTTATAGGTTTTGGAGAACGACTTGGTTGGTCATGCTGACCTAGTCCAGAAGAATTGCTCAACCTCGATCTCGTAGAGGACATCTTCTGTTGAACCAATTTTAGGCATAAACAATTTCAAAATATAATAATTGAGTTTCTTGTCCAGCTGCAAAAAAACTTTACTTGTTTTCAAAAATGACTAATAGCAAATTTTAAATTGGAGTATCACAATCTGATATGGCAATACTGTCATATTCTTCAATTTCCCATTAGATTGAAGAGAATCTTAATGTATCTATATAATGGTTAGTGGACAATAAAAAATTCCGTTTCAATTTTATAGACGAGCATAAGGACAACTAGTAGGTATACACTTGATTTGGTATGGATATGCAAACGTGAGCAATAAAAAGAGATTTCATATTTCTTCGTTAAGAGGCGTTGGTTGGTAGGTTAGGTGCTATTTTTTAGGTGAAAAGGGGATTGACTAATGTTATTTTTTAGAATGATGTTCTTCATATCATCACATTGATTAGGCTTTCTATTATTGGATCATTTTGTCATTGGTTTAGTTGTGGAGGATACCAAAATTTTGCTTTCTCAAGAAACAGGACATGACCCATCGTCATATTCGTCGTATTGCGAATGACATGGCCCATTGTCTTGCAAAATTTGTGGTTCACTGCGGAGGCCTTTCCATTTGGTTTGAGGATCCTTCAGATTTCATTAATCATTATTGATGTTTTTTGTTTGAGGATTGTAACTAGTGGGGTTTTGCTATTGAGACCCTAGTGGGACCAGGGGAGTGCTTTATTAAGGGAAAGGTTATTTTTTATGGCTATGCCGAAGGAGAGTAGGCTACTTAGTTAGATTGATGACCAAATCTTTATGTGTAGAGGCTTGCCTAATCCTCTAGGGATCAATCCTGTTTTTAATTTATTTATTATTTTTTGAACGTGTTACATCCTCACTATCAATAAAATATTATTGACAAAAACCAAAAAGTTTTTTTTTGTTGCTAAACTACAGTCCCGATTTGAAAAAAGAAAATGCCAGAAATATTCATCCGGTGACATTATAATTGAAACAAATCATTGACATTATAACTTGAAAACAAGGTTGGATAAGATCACGTCACAAATATAAGCTGCCAGTGCCATATTATTAATAACTAACACTTCACACTGTGATTTAAATTTTAAATCACACAGGGTAGGCCTCAATAATGGATAACAGAGCTGGAATTTTGATGATTTTGTAGCGAGCGAAACCTCCTTCTTTCAATATCTTCTCCCATTCATTCTCAGTCCTCTCCATTCCACCTGACGTGTGTGCAATCATCACTAGATCAAACACCAATCGTGTGTCGTCCAGCACCCCATCACCACTTGGCTCTAGAACTATATCAACGATCATGATCTTCCCACCTCTCTCTGGTATTGCTTTTCGACAGTTCTTCAAAATCTTGATGCAATCACAGTCATTCCAATCATGCATAATCCACTGCATAATCTCAATCAAAAGTTAGTTATAATAAGCCAATAAACCCTAGCTTCTTTCTCATACATTTTTTTTTTCATGACATACCTTCATGAAAACAGCATCAGCATTTGGAATATGGTCCTCAAACATGTCACCTCCAACATGTGACACTCCATGGTACGCTGGTGCTGTGGCAACAACATGTGGCAGATCAAAATTGAAACCCCTGATGTTAGGGTAGGCCTGCACAATATCAGCCACTGCACTTCCGGTCCCACCGCCTACATCCACCAAGGACCCCACCCCATCAAACCCGTGTCCATATTCTGTGAGTATTGCCTTCATCACAATCCTAGCCGTGCAGGCCATGCCATCGTTGAACAATTTGTTGAACCCTGGATTTTCAGAGGCAAAGTCCCAAATCTCAAGCCCATGCGCCTTCTTGAAGGCCCAAGGCCCTCCTTCTTTGACACATAGGCTGAAATAGTGCCATGGCGCCATTAGGGAGGGGTGATTCTGCATCACAAGAATTGGAGCTAGGCTCATCTCCGAGTCATGTAGCAGCCATCGTGATGAGTAGGTCAACCCGTAGACGGGTTCTCCCCCTTCGGATGGGTGATGAACGGCGAAGATCTTTCGGCGGACGAGAAGTCTCATGATGCGTGTGAGGCATGTGATGTCTGGAGAAGGTGCTACTAAGTGTGAGGCTATTTGGGACAAAGTGATCATATGATCAGTAGGAGCATGAGAGTGTATTATATCAGCTATGCGTAGCTCCACAGCACATTTCAAGGCCATGGAATCTGCAAACCCAAACATGTACTTCCATATATCTGCTTGACCTCTAAGCATTGCCTCAGCCTCTGTTTCTTCCATTTTGATTCTCTAGAGTTCTCACAAACAAAGCATAAGCTATAAGCCTATAACATGGGTTATATAAAGAAGGGAAGCATAGTAACATACCACACTAATGTCCAAACTTTTTGGTTAAATCTATACTCAATTGTTGGAGCAGGTACTAAACAATTGACACTAAGCACTAAGCAGCCGACAAATTACTATTTATGATGTAAGAAATCAATTGCTAGATCCAAATCTTGGATTGATTGGTTGGTAGATGCATATCGATAGATTTTTATTTTGTTTTTAATACAAGTGATAGTCTAAGCAGAAAATAGAAATCATTAATTGGTTGGGTTTTTCATACACACAGTCAAAGTGTCATGGAGATTCAAACTTAAGACCACTGCAAGTCAACATCCTTTTTCATTGAGTTAGACTTGTTAACGCATATGCATACAATCTTAAGATGCGATGAAACTGCTAGTAATCTTTATTGGCTACATTTTTAAAAAATTTATTTATTTATTTTCATAAATCGTTAAGTAGTCTTTTTAATCCAAATAATTGTGGATGCTCAAATCGATGTCATCTCGATTAGATCAATAAAAAGGTGCAATGCATGTCTAGCAACCAGTCAAAGGCAATGCTCACACTAACAAACATGAAAAGGTTTCGATGTATCAATATCACCACATGCTTTTAACAATTCTTACGAGCTCTTCAATTTTGTCACATTTTAAATCCCGAATGTATGGGGATGCAATTGAAATCATGAGAAAGATCTTCCTTTGTGGACAGCCATTATATTAGCGGAAATGTTTTAATACATTGGAAGATGTTCCTAGTTCGAGTAATATTCTAATGGATTTTGTACAAACACAAAAAGCTAGCTACAGGTACAATAGGTTGTAAGCTGGTAAATAATGTATTCTTTGAGTATCTTCTGAAGACAGCTCTCTCTCCAGTCGTGTCCTTGTTGCCTGTAGAACATCCTAAAAGATTGAAAGCAACAAATTAAGGGTTGGGGATTTGGAGAAAAAGATTAGCCTCATAAATTCTAAATTCTATTGTGAAACACATTAGAAGAAAAGAAACAGAAAATAGAAATCATTGAGAGAGAGAGAGAGAGAGAGAGAGAGAGAGAGAGAGATTTACTGCATGTAGGATGCATGCATTGCAAGCCACTGAGCATCAACCATTTCAAAAGCTATACAGTATAGTACATCGAAAGCGGCTTCATCTTCCGCATGCAATTCATAATTCAGGAGGTTAATATCAGACATCCGCGGAGTTTTTCAGCAGTTCTCTAATTCTTGCGGTTGAGCATTGTAACCGAAAAAAGACATTTGAGCATGACCTTGTTTGAGATGTACATTTACCTCCTAATAATCTCACGAAATTTATTCCAGGAACTGGAAGACACCTTGGTTTTGCTGCAAAGTAAATCAGCAGACAAGGAAGATTCAAGAAAATTAAGATTCATTTCATTTATATGCTATGGGCACCGACTAGTTTACCAACATTTTAATACCAACTGATGTGGCACATGATATGGCAGTCCATGCCACTTGCCAACTCATCTATTTTAACTTCTTGATTTATTTTTTATCAACTTAATTTTCTAATTTAGGCTGAGTCCCGCAACACCTTCTTTCATCACCGCATCAACGCCATCACCGCTGCTATTATACAGTGTCACCATCACGATGCCGCCATCACCAATCAGTCCCATCGTCGATCTTGAACCCAACCATTCACAATCCATTGACTGTTACTGTGACGATGCCATTCAATCTGCTCATCATAAATCCGCCAATGGGTTTTTGCCTCAACATATATTTCTTGAATTGAATATGGGCACGAGACGCACTCGACACTTTTATATTTCATGCCTCAACATAATACTTGTTAAATAATTCATACAACTCCCAGCAATAATGCAATGGGAAAAATTAAATATTGAAAAGTTCCATAATTGTGCCAAACGCTTTGACTTTTATCCACATTAGCATTTCATAATTTAAAATTTAAAATGATTATATGTCATTATTTTCCTTTAAATAATAAATAAAAAATTATTTGTCTTATTACTACTGTAGATAATACGAGGTTCCTGGTCAACCATTGGAGCGCCCTTTGTTTATGTGTTATCTATAAATCAGAAGGGGAGTTTGTTTGCCTAGTCTTTGCGCACATGCATAGTGGGAGTTCAGACTTTCAATGTTTGAAGATTGCCCCAACTCAATATGTGAGTATTGCTTGTTTTAACATTAATATTTGTTATATTAATTTCTTTGATTTTCTTTTTATTGCTTGTTTTAACACACACACACACATATATATATATATATATATATATGGGAATTTACAAGCTAGTTCTAGCTCCTCAGATTGAACATGGCAACTGCCTGGGATATGTTGGCTGAAATGCTAAGGCCGTCTCCTGAAGAAGGTATATATATATACTCATACTGGATTTTATGTTTTCTTCTTTTTTAATTCAAAAATCGGAAGTTGATTTTGTTATTGATGGTGTAGCATTATTTTTCTCTTTAGTTTTAGAGTATGTATATCTAGGCAATTACTGGGGTGGTGTTTTTTCATTTATATTCTTGTCAAGTTTATTTGTTGTTGTATGTGGGAGAAATTATTGAGTAATACAGAAATGTGTAATATTTTATAGAAATATGTTTTGATATATTTATTTAAACAGGAAGGCATAATAATAATGATGAGAGCGTTGTGAATGTGAATCATGGTTCTTTGTACGAAAGTTTGAAGTCTGGTGATTGGAATGCTGCAAAGGAGTACATTGATCGACACCCCGAGTCACTAACACATAGAGGTTCATCAAACGGTGGGACAGCTCTTCACGAGGCAATCGAGTGGAAGCAGTTACACATTGTGGAAGAGTTGTTGAAGCTGATGACAGGAGAGGACTTGGAAATTGAAGATGGCGATGGTTTCACAGCTTTTTTCTATGCTTTGATAAGAGGAATGGCCCCAATAGTTGCCAGCATGGTTAAAAAGAACGAGAATTTAGTTACCAAGCGTTTTACGACCCACGCAGGCGCTCTGACTCCAGTTTTATACGCTTGTGTTTTGGGCAACTGGAAAATTGCTCGCTTTCTCTATTCTCGCACTCCAATCCATGTTTTGACTCAAGAGAACAATGGCCGCGAAGGAGCTGAACTTATTTCCCATTGCTTTTTCCAGAGAAATAAATTTGGTAATTTTGACATCATTTTCAAATATATATATATATATATATATATATAAAAATAACCAATTATAGTATATGTTGATTTGTGGCTGCTTATATGATGAACCAACTATACTATAGATATTATTGGATGGGATTTACTTCAGCATTGCCCAAAATTGGCCCTTACTGAAATTTACTTCGGGTGCTCTCCTCTAAATACACTGGTTGATTTGCGTTCAGCATTTCCAAGTACGGTTTCCCTCAGATTTTGGCAACGCTGGATCTATAACAGTTAGTATTTTGTATTCTCTTCTCTTTTCTCTTGTCTTTCTTCTCTTCGTAGTATCAAACTAAATTTTTTATGTTAAAGTTATATATATAGTGAGATGTACCAATTAAATATATGTGTCTGATTTGATTTATTTTGTATTGTAAGGATAATCGAATTGAGACTGAAAAAAAAGCATATATTAATTACATTAATACGAAATGAACCTTACAAGAGCTTTCTATTTTTTCTCTATATATATATTCATTAGATTTCATTAGATTTATTATGTATATGTGAAGGAGTGCAAGTCTGCATGTTCATTAGCTTTCATTGTTCACAAGACAGTGTCTTCACACACTCACACAAATATATATATATATATATATATATCATTATATAGAAATAGATCTAGAATAATACTACTTCAGACAAGTAGGAAAATGTATTGATTGGATTGTGTTGCTTTCTCTTTAGATATACAAGTACAACAACCTCAACTTGTTCCTATCAACTCTGATGTTTGTGTAAATTTTGAAGAACTAGAAGATGACAAAATAAATCGAAGGGATCTCATTTCCTCAAGTACGTACACTGTGTTCAAAGTGTTCATCATACAAAACATTTTTTTATTTTTTTATACAAAACATTTTCTTCTTGGTTTTTTATTTTGGTTTTCAATATTGCATCCTTTTTTATATTTTATATATAAAAAAGCTCATGTAAAGTGTTCATCATACACGTACACATTTTTGTATGTTTTTGTTTTGCCAACGTCTTCGGATTTCGCAATGCAGTTATGGGTTTCTTTCAAGGAGTTGTCAAGAATCTTCTCAAACGGTTAGGTATGCTAGCTACATCCATCCACATTATTGATTCTTGGTTTAATTCTCACTTTTGTAACACGTTGTAGATTAATATTGTTTTCACTGTTAACCTAGGAATCCTTGACTTGCATGAAATGAGATTGGGCCATGACCGAATTCTTCAAATTCTACTGCTCATGTGTGACGTGGTAAAACGTACAAATCTTGACCCAATGCAAAATGCCTTCGTGCGAAAGGCAATCCTCCAAGCTGTAGAAGGAGGACAAGTGGAGTTTATTAAGGAGATGTGTAAGGCGAATCCAAGAATCGTACTAATGAAGATGGATGAAAAAAGCAGATCAATATTTCTTTATGCCGTTGAATGTCGTCAAGAAAAAGTTTTTAATCTTATATATGGGCTCAGTGAATATGATAGAAATGCTATCTTAACGTGTGCAGATGACTTTAACAATACCATCCTACATGCAGCCGGGAGTTTATCTACACATCTTAATCATATTCAAGGTGCAGCTTTGCAAATGCAAAGAGAGCTACAATGGTTCAAGGTCAGATTTTCTCACTTTATTACATATACGTAACCTTAGACAATTACTTTGTTACATATATCTATAGGCTATATATGTGATGTGAGTTTTCTTAATGAAATGTAGGAGGTGGAGAGTATTTTACCCCCCTCGTTCTTAGAAATTAAAAATAATAATGAGAGAATGACAGGACGAGAAGTATTCACTAAGAACCACAAAGAATTGGTGAAGGAAGGAGAAGATTCGATGAAAGGGATAGCAACTTCTTGCACAGTCGTAGGTGCCCTCATTATTACCATTATGTTTGCTGCTGTATTTACAGTTCCTGGTGGAAGCAATCAAGATACAGGTTTTCCCATCTTCTTAACAAAGAAGTTATTTAGGGTTTTTATAATTTCAGATTCTATATCACTCTTTTCGTCAACGACATCAGTGATGATATTCTTGAGAATTATTACGTCACGCTATGCAGAATACGATTTCTACAGGTCTTTGCCCACAAAAATGATATTAGGCCTTTTCACCCTTTTTTAATCTATCGGCACCATGATGGTTGCTTTTTCTTCAACTCTTTTTTTTATGCTTGAGGGAGAATCATGGGTATTTATTCCAATCATTTTGCTTGCTAGCATTCCAATCAGCTCGTTTGTGTGGATGCAATTCCCCATCTTTCTTGACATTTTTATGTTTACCTATGGAAGAGGAATATTTGACAAGAAATGCAAAGTCGGGGAATAAAATCCTGATTATGCGGTGAGATGTTTGTCTTATGATGTTCGTTTTTGGCTTTGTCACACTTTTAATAAGTTTTTATGAAACATGTAACGAAAAGACAATGTACGTGTGTGTTTCTATATATATCTATTTCGTTTAAATAAAAACCATCCTTATAATTAACTTTGTTTGATGCGTACATTTTTGTTTGAATTTTTTATGAATTATGTAAAGAAAAGACAATATCTTGTGATTTCTACTATAATGTTTCAGTCTTTTAACAAAAAAAGAAGAAGACAAAAACAGAAGACAGTATGGTTTTTTATATGTAATTCCATTACTAGGTACATGATTTAAGACATAAAGATAAGATCGACTGTAGAATATGAATCCATATCCTAACCACTAAGGCTAATATTATATAACTTCTGGGCATCAACAACAGCATTCTCCCTTTTTTTTTGGGTCAAACAACATCATTCTATATTAACTCAAAGTTTCTAAGGCTCGACCCAAAGGGCTTAGCTTGATAATAGTGTAACGTAATCTTCGTTCCAACATTATGATTATATTTCCCAACAAAAATGGAAGTTTCTCGGATCCTTATTGCTATGTGATTTTTATCTTCTGTTTTAATTTTTATTTTTATTTGTGATCTTCTGATATCATATGATGTTCCATCTGTGTCTTTACCACTTTTAAGAAGTTTTTATGTTTCATGTAAAGAAAAGACAATGTAGGTGTTTCAAATTCTATTTTGATGTATACATTTTGTTTTGGAAGTTTTACGAATTATGCAAAGAAGAGACAATGGCATTGTTTGTATGTAAATTCAATACACTACTTGATTTTAGACATGACATAAGATCGACAGTCAGAAATATTTAGAATACGTGAATTCATTCTAACCACTAAGTGCGAAGTTATATAACTTGTTGGCATCAATAACACATCGTTTTTAGGCCTATAGATAAGATTTAGTTTGGAGTGTCACTGTCAGATTTGTATTAATTATCATTGGGTTTTCATTTCTCAAGCGGAATGAATTTCATATGACCCAAAGACTAACAAAATCTGATTGTTAGTCAATAGAAATGCTTGAATAGGCAAAGAATGATAAAGCATTCAAAATACCAAAAACATAAAAGACCAAATGTGATAATTTCTATTGCTCTGTCTTGGGATGAATGGGATACCCTGATTATTATAAGCCAAGCTGCTTCTGAAGTGTGCAAGGACCTTCCTCTGTGCTATTTCCATGATTTCAGTTATGAGAAAACGTCGTAGGTCTTAGGTTCATAACATACCAAAATCATTGGGTGCCTAGGAATTTTGAACTTTTGCCTACATGGGTGGAGGTGGAAGAGCTCAACCAACTGAGCTATACCTCATTGACAGAAATTACTTAACTTTAATCAACATGATAACCTACCTTTAGCCTGACTTGCTAGATCCTGTATTTTTTTGCATGTCCAGATTTCTCCTTATGGTTTGCAGATGTTATATGTATCAATCACTCTGCTGACTGATGTGTATTAGTGTGTGTGTGCGCGTGCGCTTCACAATTTTGAAAAACTTTTTAGGTTTGAGTTCAACATGCTAGAATGTTGCCTTTTTACATCATTATTTTATTGTGATTCTAACCTGAACATGGTATTTCAGGCGCCTGCTGATGCAGAGAAACCTTTGTATCTTCAATTTGCAAAGCTGTAGGAGGATTATGGTCTAGCAAAGTGCGCTATGAAGGTCTATGATGAAGCAACTAAGGCTGTTCCAAAACATGAGAAATTGAGCATGTATGAAATCTACATTGCCCGTGCTGTGGAGATACTTGGCATCCCCAAAACAAGGGGGATATATGAGCAAGTAATAGAATTCGGTCTTCCAGACAAAGATGTGAAGACTATGTGTTTGAAGTATGCTGAGGTTGAGAAGAGCTTGGGAGAAATTGATCGTGCTCGGGGAGTATATATATTTGCATCACAGTTTTTGGATCCACGATCTGATGTAGAATTCTGGAACAAATGGCATGATGAGTTTGAGGTGCAACATGGAAATGAAGATACCTTCCGAGAGATGCTTCGAATAAGAGAAAGAAAAGAAAAATCTTTCTTCCTTTACAGAGTGACATATATATTTCCTTCCTTTCCTATGACTAACTTTGTTACATGAATAGAATGGAACTTTGAAAAACAGAAACAGTAATCGTTGAATTGAATATGGGCATGAGACGCACGCAATGAGGCAATGGCAACACTTCTATATTTCATGCACCTTCTTAAATAATTGATACAACTCCCAGCAATGAGGCAATGGCAATGGGAAAAAAACATTTGTCTTATTACTACTGTAGAGAGAGCTACATGTAATACGAGGTTCCTGGTCAACCATTGGAGCGCCCTTTGTTTAATTTTTGTCTCTCGCACGTTCACATCTAGATGCAGATATAGTGATCACAAGCAAAACCTGTCATACGAATAATGCCCCAACTCATATTAATTTCTTTGATTTTCTTTTTCTTGCTTGTTTTAAGTTTTAACATATACATACACATGCTTGATTGCCAGATTGAACATGGCAGCAGTTACAGTTGTCCCTGCTACTAGCGTAATTGCTAATCTTAAGCTTCTTAACAATTATAATATATACGCTACAACGCGTTCTGAATTCTTAAGTGGAATGCCCCTTATATGACAGTTAGGACTACATTCTCTTTTCTTTTGATTATTTAAAGTCATATCTCAATGTCTCATATTTTGTAAACCCAATCAAATGGTTAATTGATTGTCTTTTAACTCATTTTTTGTGTAACATGGGCCCATATGAGTGCTTATATTATATAATAATATTATATCTTGCTTATATAATGTAATTAAGTTGTTTGTAGCTTCTCAATTATTTGTCTAGTTTAGAGGTGTCAAACGAGTCAAGCTTAGAGGTGTCAAAGAAGTCAAGCTGCGTCGGGCATGTCCATTGCGGCTTTAGGCCATACTCGGGCCGATCCACTTAATAAATAGGCCGGGACAAGCCCGTCTTTTTAAAAATTTCATTAAATACGACATGAGCCCATGATCTTAAATCATATAGGGCCGGAACGAGCCACTAAACGAGATATCAAATACATGACTTTTGGTGCATTGATAAATACAGCAATTTGAACTATTGCTTAAATTTCATTATGAAAAATACCATAAGCCATATTATATTGTATCACGTTATATGTCATATCTCTAATAAAAGTGAAACTTATTTGAATTTGTGCGCCCTACATAATGGTTATGTGCTCATTAGACATACATCATTGCATAGTAACATAAAAATCTTACCTCAACGTATTGATTTGGCAGATGTTCTGTTGTTTTGTTTATAACTTGATAGGTATACACGTACCACATGCTACTATGATTCTTGATATTCGTATAAATGTTGAAAAACTAGAAGATGACCCGGTTAGTGGAAATGATCCCATAGCTCACTCAGGCATGTTGCATTAGGGTTTGTCACTTGGTCGGGCAAGTCCAAATTTTTTGAGTTTGAGCCAGGCTTTGTTCTTTTTTATTTTTTGGGCTGGGCCCAAACAATCAAAAGCCTTAGCTCAAGCCTACCCATTGGTCCAGACTTAGAGAGACTTGACGGGCCAACCTACCACGGGCCTTTTTTTTTCCTTAAGTTTTTTAGGCTAAGGCGAACATACTTGGATATGCCAACATACAGTATCATTTTTTGTTTGTAATTCCAATACTACGCACGTACATGATTTAAGACAAATGATGTGGCAAGTGGCAAGTGACGATGACTGTTATATCATGTGTCACATTAGTTGGTATTAAAAACCTTACGTAATAAATGATATAGATATTGAAACAAATATAAGTTATCCTTAAAATCCCATATTAATTCTTTTGGACTCGGTGTTGAGACAAATCCACAAGAAAAGATAATGCAATCATTTTTTTTTTGGTCATCCCCTAGGGAGGGGGAGGTTGAATAATATATTAGGTTGGCTTTTTGGGGGTGGTGGAGGCGGCCTATGGGGTGTGCGACTGCACAGGGCCCCCAAAATTTAAGGGCCTCCAAATTTTTCCAAGTCAACCCATTAAATTAACTAAAACATGAAAATAAAAATGAAATATGAAATATCATCCCACAACACCACATGCAAGGCACCAAAACCAAATTGAATTGAATATTAATTATCAACAAATTCTACGACTTAGAGAGTAGATGCCCTAATTTAATTCATTTTCCTCTTCCCAACTCTCACGCTGCAACTCTTCTTTTTATTTATTTATTATGGTTTGAAACCTATGTTTTCCTCTTCCCAACTCTCAAGTTACAAAACCATTCTAATATTCTTTTCTCTTTCAGTAAGTATTTCTCACTCTCCTCCATCAAAATAAAGCAATTTCTCTTCAATACTAGTGTATCACCCTCTTCCATCAAATTTTGGATTGTAAAAACCCAAGCTTTAGCCCTTTCCCCAAAATCACAATTATTTTCTCCCTCCCTTATTCACATGAGAATTCACCAAGCATTGAAATTGGAAAATCAATTTATCAGCTCTGTGATTTGGAAGGGTGACTAAAGAAATTTTTCTGGGAAACTCTTTCCGAATGTATTCTTCCCGTGTCAAAAATTTTTATTTCTATATGGATTTTTTTTTCCTACTTGTATATATAGGGCCTCGACATCCATATTTGCACAGGGGCCTCCAAAATCAATGGACCGGCTCTGGGTGCCACCCCATGTGTAAGAATAAAGGTGATTCTGTTTACTTAAATATGACAGAAAAATAAACATGATAGGATAAGCTAAACATGGTCTGCATATTTAAACTTCTTTACTCTCAAAGAACCAAAAAAACTCTTTACAAACCTGAACAAAAATCAAGCATTTTAATCAGCATTTTAAACTTCTTTACTCTCAAAAAGTTTCGATGTATTAATATCACCACATGCTTTTACGAATTCTTATGAGCTCTTCAATTTGGCACATTATAAATCCCGAATGTATCCAATGCAAGTGAAATCATGCGAAAGATCTTTCCCCTGTTTTATGGACAGCCGTGATATATAGCGGAAATGTTTTAATTCATTGGAACATGCTAAGTCCGAGTAATATTCTAATGGAATTTGTACAAACCAAAAAGCTAGCTACTGGTACAAAAGATTGTAAGCTGGTAAATCATGTATTCTTTGAGTATCTTCTAAAGACAGCTCTCTTTCCAGCTGCGTCCTTGTTGCTTGTAGAACATCCTGAACGATTGAAAGCAGCAAATTAAGGGTTCTATTGTGATTTCGTGATTTGGAGACCTCATGCAGAGAAACAAACCAATTTGACCTAATTTCACTTGGAGTTGTGAATTAAAGAGATAGAGAGAGAATTACATTAAACTGCATGTAGGACGCATGCATTGCAAGCCACTGAGCATCAACCATTTCAAAAGCTATACAGTATAGTACATCAAAAGCGGCTTCATCTTCTGCATGAAAATCATAATCCAGGAGGTTAAATATCAGAAACCAGCGCAGTTTTTTTTGCAGTTTTCCAATTCTTAAAGGCAGTTGAGCATTGTAACCCAAAAAAGACATTTGAGCATAACCTTGTTTGAGATGTACATTTACCTCCTAATAATCTCACGAAATTTATTCCTGGAAGACACCTTGGTTTTGCTGCAAAGTAGATCAGCAGACAAGGAAGATTCAGGAATAATTAAGATTCGTTGTTTTCATTTATAAAACTTGTGTAACAAATGATAGCGATATTGAAACAAATCTAAGTTATCCTTAAAATCCCAGATTAATTTTTCTGAACTCGGTGTTGGGACAGATCCTCAAGAAAAAGATAATGCAATCATTTCAAACGTTTGAAGAAAGAAGATGATTTCAAGTTGATGTAAAAATAAAGGTGATTCTGTTTTCTTAAATATGATAGAAAACTAAACATGATAGGATAAGCTTCATGGTCTACATATTTAAACTTCTTTACAAACCTGAGCAAAGATCCAGCATTTTAATCAGCATAAATGATATGTTTATTCCAGCAACAGCAAAAGGGTATTCCCAAGTTGCTCGCTTCCCATCTTCCTTGAACAATAACCTACGGAAAGACACCTTCATTTTGGATTTTATAAAATTAGTATTAACTCATTTTTTGTGCACTTCAGAAATTAGGAAGGTAAAACACAAGGGCTTGGAGGGGGAGCCAGAAAAGGAAAATATGATTATTTGCAGGACCCGCACAACAGGATAGAAGGCATACCGGATAAGTCCTGGCGAAAAACAGCAAGTTCTCTAGGGAGATAAAACCGCAACCCCTGAAGAGAGCATTTTACTATAAGAGAACTGTAGAACAAACTATCCTACTAACATTTCCTTTTAGCAAAGTCCTTTCTACATTCATGAAAATCATGAAACAAACTATAATTCAATTAGACAGAATTGTACCTAAAGTCAGTAGAAGGGTTAGAACCTTGCCACCCCATCTCTTTCCATTGCTCAGAAATTAAACCTTGCAGAGCAACATCTGGAAAGGCAGCACGCCACAATGCTTTCAAGGCTTCCTGAAGTTCATATAGAATAACATAATCTAGCCAATGATATAGCACCAAACACTTAATAAAAAGGGGGAGGGCGAAGCAGAATGGTAAATAACGTAAGAGCTGAAAATTATGCACTTCTATTGAAGATTCAACATGAAAAAATTAAATTGAAAATTCAAATGGTGTAGTCGTGATAGCAAGTTGTTCCTCAGCAGCTAAGATTTATTAGTAAGCCCTAGTAGTGATAACCCCTATCAGACTCAGATTACAGATAACGAAATAACCGATGAATTGTCATCAAATTTAAACATAGCTCAATTAAACCAAATTAAACCTGGATAACAGTGGATACAAAGTGAGAAAAAAAAACTGATTTAGCACCAGCATGAAGAATATACTTGATGATCAGGGCGATTCTCATCAAAAGGAACTTGTAATCGTGCTTGAAGCCTCAAAAGTCTCTGTTCCTGTTTAGAAATTGAAAATTATATTGGAAGTCCATCAAACGGATAACAGTGAAGAAAATCATTTCAGGAACTTTAAAAATCAACCAAAGCTAGAAGTGCATGTTTAAGTCTTTAGTAATTCCAAGAAAGTTCCTAAATACTAAGTCTGGTATCATCTATCAGAAATATTGTCTATGATGACATCAAGATGATAATTACGACTGAAAAAATACCAACTTGAATAAACCACATGAATGCCCAGAATCAACACATTATACTATTCAGACACTATGGCAGTTTCTCATATAGTTAAGTAGTCTAAGTAGATGGGAAGTAAGAGATGCAAGCTTGCATTCATTGACAAACTCAACATCAGAAGCAAATGTTAGCAAAACACTGGAAACAAAAACCACTACTCGCTTCAACTATATACCTGAAGAGGACTCAAAGAGTAGTCACCATGCTTCTCATTTCGTTTGTTGCTTGAGCGGGTAAACAGTCCTGTCCATGATCGTGGTCCAACCATAGCATTAACTGCAACCATTAAACACTTGTTAGTGAAATATGAGAGTTTGTGTACAGAGTGGTATAGGATCATAAATGCACATTTTATTACAAATTTTTGGTAGTTTAACAAGAACATGGTCAGTGTAGCAGTGGTACCAGTACATACAAGACCTATTATGTTTTAAGAGATTTTCTTCACGCTCAAAATGCATACAATATAACAGATGAAAGATGTCCAGGAACTAAAGGCGTCCTATGAGACACACTGTTAGTGAAATTTTCTTCCTCATTTCCCAGTAAATTTTGTCGACATAATTAGTGAGAGAAAAAAAATCCATGAGACACACTGTTCCTCTGCTAACTTAAAACTGCCAATCCAGGAATCAATCCAAATTCCAAATAGAGCCACTAGTATTCACTCCACCATGAAGATATTGCTATATCTAACAATCACATTTCCCATGACCTTTAAGTTCATTGTAAAATACCAAACTTGTGGTAATGACGTACAAGGTCTCCTCAAGAGACCTCAATATGAAACAATGAAGGTTCAACCCAACTATCTATGTTATTTCAAGACAAAGGAGGAAGTGAAAAAGTGTTATGCTATGCAGAAGTGTCAGTCAGTTACCAAGAAATAAATTTCTTTAACCAATACCATCTTGTTTCTATTAAGTAGTACTAGTAGAAATTGGATGAGCAGTTCATCACGTATGACAATGAAAAGTACGAATTAAAGAAATATGGAAATTCCGTTACATAATAAAAAGAAAATTAAGAGTATTCTATTGAAAACTTGAGAGAGAGAGAGAGAGAGAGAGAGAGAGAGAGAGAGAGAGAGTGGGTGTGGAACCAAAGAAGGATTGAATTGGAGAAAAAAAAATCAACTCTACTCACTAAAACATTGAGCTAACTGCGATTTGACATGAGTTGAATCATGTGGCCATTCCAACTCCCCATCGCGTTTCTTATGTCTACGATAAATTTCATCCTCATCAACCTACATTTGATATTCAAAAAGGCATTTCAGTACTTATAAATCGTTGCATAACACAATATAGCATAGCAAAGGTTTTGAATTCATGGATAGATCTCATTCACTCAAGTGTCGTAACATGAAACGTTTAGAAGCTACAGAGCATGTAGAGCACACAAACAAAAAAGAATTACTTTAACTTGTTAAGAAATGTGGCAAACGCAACACAAAATAAAAACTTTTGGTTGATGTACACGCTTGATAAAGAAAAACAAAGCAGCAGACAGACAAACTATGGATTCTGATTACCAACAAGGCTGTCATGAGTCATTAGAAGGCTTGCATATCAATAAGCAAAAGATCATCAATTAGAAAATTGAATCAAAGGATGATAATTTCACTTCAGAATATGAAAATACAGACTATTAACCAGTGAGCAATCCTAAGGGGCTGTAAATCACCACCAGCATTGATCTACATTAATCTTCCATACAAACAACAAAGAGATGGGATGGATAGTTTACTCTGTGATGGGAAGAGCAAGAAGGAAAGCATTGCCTGTGCTTCCTTAATCTCATGAGGGGGGGCAAAATCCAGAGAGGGAGAGAGGGAGAGAGAATCTTTCACCCTTTTTAACCGAAAGCAAAAAGGCAAAAAACAAAAAGGAATTTGAAGAAATATGGGTGGCAAATGATTGCACCCAACTCATGCTCTTCAGTCTTCTCCTATAATTCAACCTCACGATTATTGAACTTTTCTTTGTCTACCCAATTTACTTTAAATAAAGGCCGAGAAAGTCAAGGAATGGCATATTGGTATAAATACAGGGGTGCCCAGAAGCTATGAAGATGGGAACTTTCTAAAGGGAAAAGATTAATGGCTCAATTAAAGGGCTTTTTTTGCATAATTTATGATGGAAAAGATACGCAATATATAGAAAGATTGAAACTTTGATGAAAAGGTGAGGTGGGTACCTCTGCACGCATAGCATTGACATACAAGACAAATATAACATTGCAACATACAAAGCTATAGAGAGAGAGAGAGAGAGAGAGAGAGAGAGAGAGAGAGAGAGAGACATAGGGACATAGACAAAAATACCTGCTATGGCATCTGAGGAGACATGTTGGCGGTGGTGGTGTTGTTGGTGATGATGGTGTCACGACGGGGCCCACTTGAAGAAAGTGGTGGTGGGAGCAGGGCTGATACAGAGAGAAGAGGAAGCAGGATGGCATTTTTTTTTTTTTTTTTTTTTTTTTTTTATGAAAAACTTTGCATCCAGAAATGGTGTCTATAGGGGTTGTTTTGTCTCAATCCGTCAATGGCACTGAAACCAGTCAATTTCCTGCAAACCAGCCTAGATGCTAGCTATCGGTTTGGTTGCTTCTTTTTTAACCTTGGTGGTCTGCTCCTTGTGGCCACGCACGTGCGAAAATATTGTTATTCCAATTGGCTTACTGCTAGCATGACTCGTTTAACAAATCATTTTTGGAATCCTCTTTGGATCTATTTCCTAACTTGCAAATTTTACGTATGGTACAATGTACAAACAATGTGTTTCTAATGAGAAAATCTTAAAAAAATTTCTAATCATGATTTGTAAATGTTTGTGGATCACATCACCTCATTGTGAGGTTTAACAAATACGCATGATCATTTTAAGGGTTGTTATTTGTTACTTGAAGTCGTCACTCGAAGTCATAATGTGTCAACGAGATAGAATTTTTAGTGTTTAAAATGTGCGCGACTTAGATAACTTTGTAACTTGTTACATAAAAACTGAAGAAACTAAAGGCGCTTTTTTCAAACAAATTTGAAACCAATAAACATCAAAAGGAAATTCCAGGTCCTGGTAATTTCATAACATTAACCATCATCAGTAACAAACTCTCTGATTACAAACAGGAGCAATCTTTCCCTAGCTAAGAAACTGGAGTAGGGTCCAAAAAGAAGACTGGGGACACTATGTTAGACTAAAATTGACATAAAAATTAGTTGACATTTGAATCATATGAGCATGAACTAAGGAACAGGATAAGACTTGTTATGGCACATGCACTTGTAAGCCATGGGACATGTCTCAGACTCTGCGATTGATGCGCAGAGAAAGCTCACCATCACAAGCCTACATGGTGAGCAAGATCCACAAGCATGGGAACAATCTGGCAAGCTCGACCCTGCCACTTGGAGTGTATCTGGCCCCCTAATTCTCTTATAACTAATTGGCCTTCTTTCTTCCACTGCACCCTCTCTAATTGTGCTTTTTGGTATTAACACTGAAGACTTCAGATGGCGCCCATGACCTGCATCAAAATTAATCAACAGAAAAGGAAAATTAGAGAAATGTTTAACGATAATTACAATTTAATCACAACCAACAATTTTGATAGAGTATTTATACGTGAGTGAGGCCGAGCTATATGCCGAGCAGACATGGAATTTGGAAATAAAAGGAGAACAACCATAATTGCAGCTACCCAAAATGAACCCTTCATGGATTTTTCTTGAATTTTTTTTTTCTCTTTTGTTTAGTGACTAAACTTATGCAAAATCTAGAGAAGGTCTTGAGTGATTGAGAAAATGGTGGAAAGAAAAGGTTGAAGCAGATGAATATTTATAGAAGCCAGGACCAAGAAGAAAGTATTGAAGCAAATCACAGGAGTAAGTGGTATGACAAGAGAAGGTCACATGAAAGACACAGGATTGCATGCTCACAGTCACAGATAGTCACAGGACTCAAGCTTTGCTTTTGTTGGGTTCCATGGAAGAAGGGTGATATGGCTAGGCTCAAGAATTTACTGAATTAAAATGGTGCTTCTTTTACGTGAACTACTCTGACTCAGACCTTTGCTCACATACATTATACATACCCATTAATGCAAGTTACATTAATTAATGTATTCTACAGAAAATTAAAAATAAAAGTTAAAAAAATTGAAGGCTCAAGGTAATAAATTTGGTAACTGAGGGTCTGTTGTGACTGCCATTAATAATATGCGCTAGAATCTAGATAGCTGCTATGTATTTGGTGAACTTAAGAAGCTAGGAGGATCTATGGTCCTTCATGGACCATCTCAAATGTGAAGCCACTTTGTTTGATGTTTACTGGCAAGTGCCAATGTATCACTAGCCATAAAAATTCATTTGGAACATGCATTGACCTGTACAAGTCTTGCCAAACCTTATAGAAGAATCAACCTAAAAGCCTAAAAGGCCGACTGCAGCAGCTTGACCAGGGCTGGTCCTGAGTTTTCAAAGGCCCAAGGCGAAAATCTAAAGTGTGCCCTGCACACATTAATCACTAATACTAGTATACTTCTTGTTTTATCAACTAAGCATTGGGTTTTTTGAGAAAGTATTTATTCGAAAATATTTTTAGACTTTGAGCAATGTCGTCCATATTCCTAAATAATGAAAACAAATGTCCAATTATGGATACCATACCAGTGAGTCAAAGAATTTCAAGAATAAAAGTCAAGCCAATATCAAAGAATTTCTTTTAAAACTCTCGTCATGGATCCTTTGTTCCAACATTTCATATTCATCTCAATATCCTATTCCTAAAAATTATGGAAAAATATTAAATCAATTTATAATAATATAATATAACACTTATTATAATAATAAAAATTTGGGGCCCCCTTGAATAATGGGCCCAGGGCAGTCGCTCTGACTGCCCCTGGGCAAGGTCGGGACTGAGCTTGACCCTATTAAATTATGTGTGTAGATATGCATATATAGCTTTTGGTATTTGGTGGCCCTTTTGCTCAAGTTTAGTTGATAAAGTGCTACATGGGAAGTAAGGGACTTGTAACTTAAGTTGTTAAGAGCATTTATTTATGTATTTGAGGTCCTAAGTTCAATTCCCTCCTTCTCCAATATCGCTTGTATTAATAAAGAAAAAAAGAAAAAAAAAGTGATACATTTGAGAATTGAGAAGATATAACATTCATTACGCTTCTTTTTCTTTTAATTCCCTTCTATTAACACTATTTTTAATTCCCTTCTTTTTCTTTTACTAAGACTTTTTAAAGCAGTCCTCGTGAAAAAGGGCTAAGGATTTTTAAAATCAATTGCAATATTATCACTAACGCTTGGACATACTCACTCTGAGTCAAATTTAGCCAATTGTATCGACATTGAACACGAAAATATCATATATATTACCGATCTACAATTTTTTTTTTAATGACAGGGATCGTTTATTATATTGCTTTTCCTTGGGGCTTCCAAAAATTCAAAATAAAAAACAAGGACAACACAAAGGTACATATATTGGCTCTTCTAGATAAAGACTAAAATATTTTGCTTGAAAATCATCGAATTCTAACATATGCTGACTACTTAAATTAAAAAATCCAACTACTTCTTGGTCAAAGGTCAATAGTGAGAACTACCTGATTACCAGGTAATCGAGTTCACCCAAAAACAAAATTACTCTAGGTCTTTGCTCTCGTCTTTTTTTCCTTGTCAGCATTGAAGGTTTGGTTGGACCTCCAAAAAAACCACCATTTTATGCATATGAATACGTGCCAAGTGTTGAGAAGAATGATGAGGAGGATACACCTTGAATTAAAGTGATGAATAACAATACTCTCTCAAAAGACTTCAATTGCGATTTGTGACTATTTGACATGCCACAGTGCCACTTGTCATTTAACAAATCGGTTGGAGATGTTCTTATAGTTAATTGGTTAACCTCCTTTTACTTAGGCCATAAGCTAATGCTTATGCTTTATATTTTCCACCTTGTGAAAAATCCAAAATTATTATCGAAACCCCCATTCCACGTGTAATTATGTGGTAGTAGTAGAAATAAATATTAATGAATCTTCCTGGTGGTTGTTGAGCAATATTTGACTTGCTATTCAAACATTACAATTGGCTTGCTAGAGGGTGGTGGCGCCAGCCAAGAAAGAAAAAAGGAAAAGAATGAAATAGCAGTCAACGGCTACTTCAAAAGTCTCATTCAAACAATTAAGAAAACGTGTAGAACCAAAAATAAAATTCTCTGCTTGATATTTGCATATAAGTTAGCAACTGAACTACCACAACAACCCAAAACTCTTCTCCAGCTTTATTTATAAATCTCATCATCAGTGTGTGCTCAAATTATAAGCAAAGCTATGAACGGTCTAGTCCGTGGCGCCACCGCCAGTTTGAGCCGGCGGTTCGACGGTTATGAGCCGCTGGATCGAGTGATGAGAAGTGCAAGCAGGCGTGATGTTCGGCGGAGGAGATCAATGTCGTTTAAGGGTAAGAAAGTGGCACATGTTCCATTGAGAAATAATGAAGACAGAGCCAAGCAAAAGCGGCAGATATTTCTCAACTCCTACAAGTTTGAGTCACCCAAAAAATCTCAACGCTCAAGGTGTATGAAGCTCAACAAGGTGGCTCGTAAGGTTAAGACGGTTGTGGCGAAGCTAGTGTCGTCGTTCTTCCGAATTGGAGGTTTCCGATCTTGTAATTGTCGTTTGGCCATCCATGCCTCCTCTCCAACGCCTCGTAGGAATTGATACTATATAAGCTAAAAAAGTAGACATTGATTGCATGGGTAAATATATACTCTTTACAACTAAAGTTATAACTTTGAAGAATTATCGGATTCCTTGTAAAAACTGTTTTTCGAGCTATTGATGAAGTGTTAATTATAAGTAGCAAGTTAGGAATTCATCAGAACTCGTTATTTATGGATAATAAGGTGATCAATTTGATTTATGTAATTCTCTATTAATTTGGATTCATTACAGCGAAGGCAGTAAATTTAGTGGTACTTTGAGCCTAAAATAGAAAAATGAGGAAACTAAAGATATAATTGTTTGAACCCAAAAAAATCGGTTTGACGCACAATTACAATACAAGGCACTGTCAATGTTTGACGATATCCACACACCACAAAAAATGTAACAAAGTCCTTAACCAATAGAAATCACCATATATCCCAACAAAAAATCCCACCACCCCTTCCTTGGCACATTTACGTTCGCCTCCAACTTCATAATCCAGCTGATAATCATTAGATTGAAGAAGAAGAAGAAGAAAGATCAAGTGCCCCTCTTTCTTCTTCGATCTTCTTATACTTATAAGTACAACATATGCATATGGATTAAGTAATTGAAGGGTTAAGTACGTGCGTACTCAATTCAATTTAAATCACTACCTTAAGGAGTCATACCATTAAATATTATCATATACTATGCACTCTGGCCCTAATCACCCTCCACCGCCCCCATACGTGATGCTTCAAGATCAGGGTGCCCCCGGCCACTATCCAGGACCCCATGGTCGCAATCCTCCCCGGTTCAATGGCCAATACCGCCCCAACGGGCGCCGCAAAAATACTTGCTTGAGGTGCTATTGTTGTTTCTATTGTTGCTTTTTCATAACCCTAGTGGTGATCATCGCAGCCGTGGTCATCAGCTTCATCATAATTAATCCGCGCGTGCCCGAGTACAAAATTAACGACTTCTCTGTCAAGGCATTCAATCTCACCCCTGATTTCAACCTCAACGCGCATTTTGTGATCACGGTAAAAGCTGAGAACCCTAACAAGCAAATCTCCATCATATATGGGAAGGGCAGCAGTGTAACCCTCTTGTATTCGGGGAAGAAGCTTTGCTCTGGGAATGTACCAGATTTTACTCAACCCACAAAGAACACGACCATGATTAATGTAGACCTCAAAGGAGACTTGAAAGGGAGTGACTTTGGAGGCTCCTTGGGAGAGTCACTCATGGAGAAAATGAAGAGTGATAGGATCCCCTTGACTGTTGCGGTCAGGGTACCTCTAAATGCAGCGATGGGAAATATGCACGTGTTGAGAGATCCAATGGGGATTTATGTCAACTGCTCCATGGTCGTCAATAATTTGTCCCAACCAGATAAGAAAGTAGGGATTTCAGACACAAAATATGACGTTGATTTTTCATATAAGTTCAAACATTGATGAAAACCCCAATGTTATACGAGGTGGGAAGTTGAGCATTATGTTAGCTATATTCTAGCTAGCTAGCTGCTTAATTTCTGCAGAGGGAATTTCAATGGCAGGGTTAATTAATGTGTTGTTCTTACACAAACAAATTTCTTCATTTTTTTTCCTTCCAAATGTAATGCACAAAATTATTGTGTCTCTTACTTTAGCAATTTTTTTTCGAGCACGAAATTATAAATGGTACAGTACATATGTGATTTTGTTTGCACATTATTTGGTGTATTTACTTTTGTACAAGAACTGTTATTCGATTGATAGTTGCATCCCAACTACGGAAATTTTATGTTCTTCAGTTTAAGATGTTGTTGAGAAACCTTCAAACTCCATCGTGGAGGTTAAAGCTGCCATCAATTACTTCCAAACAAAGAACATGGATGAGCTCGTCAAATTCCATTAATACGTGGAACAGAATTTGACATTCTTCTTCAGTTTTAAGATAAGAACACGTTAATTGTTCCTTGGCTCTCTCTACTTGTGATACAAAATTCTCTCAAAATATCTTGTAGATTTGTAATGCAGGTAGGAAGAAGCTTGAATCATTAGGGAAGTAGAACTTCCATTAGGGCCAGCTCCTTGACAGGATTACTTCTACAAGGTCTTAAGTTGGGCTTTCAAAAATAAACCCATTAAAAATTTTACAAACAGATCGAGGAGGAAGTGGGTGTGCCATTTTTTATTCTTTATTCTTTATTCTTTTCCAATTTTTATTTTACAATACATATGCTTTCTCTTTTAAGATTGTATTTATAATTCAACCAAAAAAGCCACTAGTCACAAATGACTCATCTACTAATAATCACGCTGGATGGAAGAAACTCTGACATAAAAACAAATCATATGTTTTTTAAGTTGAAACAAATCCTATATCATTCTATTGTAAAGTAATTCAGTGAATTGTTCTTTTTTTTTCCTAATTAAGATAGAAACCTGGCGACAGAAAAGAAAGAGTCTACAGGGGAATTTCTTGTTACCTTTTCTTTATTTACTTCTTTCTTGGCATCTCTAAAGGGCATATCTCTCCATTTTCTTTAATTAAAGAATTTATTTTAATTGAACCTTTTCTTGATCCTTTGGTTGCCCACACCACAGGTCATAACTCTTCTTGATAACACACACCTACTATATTTTCTAGTGAGAGAGACTGATTTCGTTCCCATGGGTCACAAGAATGGCAATATGGCATTGAAAGAAGATAATTAAGGCCCAATTAACCTGCTTAAACACTTTCTAAAGTTTACATTCAATAATATGGATGGAGAAAATTAACATTCCCGAGCTTAAATAAGAAATATTGGATGATGGTTCCGCCACTGTGCAGCGTGCACTGGTGAGTAATTATTAGCACAAAAGAAACATTATCAAAGAAAGTTGTGAGAGTCAGCAAGTCACCTTTTTTTTTCCTTTTTCTTTTCTTCTTATAATTGACCTGCATCATTGGAGCTTTACCTTTATCCACAAGGCTGCCTCCCCAACTCATCCCCCCCTGCAGCTTGCATGCTCTGTGGCATCAGTTGGTCACCAGCCCAAATATACCTAAACTAGTTTATGAGAGAGAGAGAGAGAGAGAGAGAGAGAGAGAGAGAGAGAGAGAGGGTGGGTTTGATTACCTATTCCTTTTGAGTCTTTGACTGAAAAAACTACCAAACCACGCAGCCATTTTGCATTTGTTTGGTGAAGCATCTTGTGTGCTACATTTTTCTTTTGGTTTCTTTTTTCACTTTTATCCGACAAGGATGAGAATGAGCAGGTGAGGATGCAGTGTCAATGCGTGTGTGTTAAGGTTCTGTACAAATAAAATGATGTTCATCTTAGGCAAATTACAAGGGTGGTCACTTCTGGTGATCCAAAAGAGACCCCTAATTTAACTCAACCATTATCTTTCAACTTTAACAAAACTAACCTTTAAAAAGTAAAAAAGAAAAAAAGCAAAAATGGAATGAATGAAATTCCATTACACTATTCATGGATATTATGGATTTTTCTGATATCAAAGTTTTCGTAACCCATTTCTGCAATTCATCTTTTCATAACTGACCCTTTTGCCACTGAAATCTTCTAATTTTACCACTTCTAAGTCAATGAGCAGGAAATTTCTATTTTTTATTTCTCATTTTGTCCCTTTGAGACTCTGAGTCTTCAATTATATCATCATTATCCCCTTTTTTCCCCTGGATTGTCTCTTCAATGATCAAAATGATTATCCTTTTTTGGGTCTGAAGACACACAATTACCAAGATCACAAAGAAACGGAGCTTTGCAAGAATTTCCAGCCCCATGTACACTGCTCTTATAATGTGGCTTCCATAGTGGCCTCACAAGTGTCCCAAAACGACTTTCTAGTGGTAGTGGGAGCAGATTTTCCAGGAGACCGACAATGAAAGAACTGTCTTGTGCCTCTCTCTCTCTCCCACTCTTTCTCTCTCTCCTCTCTATTTCAACCTTTTCAAACCCACTCCTCCTAAATAGGCAACACCAACAACACCCTCTAAAGTGAACCCAACTGTCATGTTGGTTACTAGTTCTGCTGCCTGCTTGTTTCTGTCTTTCACCTTTATCCTCCGTCTTTCATCAACTCTCACAAACTAAAAAGGTCTGTCTTTCTCTCTGTTCCATTGCTCAAGCTTTAGCTGCAAATTAAGCTGGTGTTCCTCGTACCATACTCTTCTTTTTACCTTTGAAACAGATAAAACAGAGACAACCCAACATGTTCGACATCTTGTTCGGGTGGCGAAAGGCTTCAAAATGGTACTCAGATATGAAAGTTCAGAATTATTTTTTTTGGTTGGGTTGTTTTTATTGGGAACCAATTGTAGTTGCTTGTTCTGCATGTGCATGGTCTTATTGTTGCAGCAAGAGGCTGATCAAACAGGTCCAGTGCCGGCTCAAGTTGCTGAAGAACAAGAGGCAGACAATTGTGAGGCAATTGCGCGAAGACGTGGCGGAGCTGATCAAACATGGCCACGAAGACAAAGCCTTCAACAGGGTAAAACCCCGTGATGGAATTCATTTATTACCCTTATGTCAAATCAAGATCCCCATGACATCTCCTCTGTTTTCTTCTTTTTTCAATCACTCGTGAATTCTGTTCTGGGGTTAGTTCAAATTTTGCTGATATGGAATCTGGGTTTCCCCCAAGCACGTTTTGGTGATAAAGTTTAGAGGTTAAAAGTGTTACCAGGAAATAAATGGATGATGCCAAGTACTTATCTGTAATTTTTAGGATTGTTTTGATCTGTTTTTTTCTCATTAATTTCTCTAGTTTTTGTTTTTGTGCTTTTCATACTAAACCCATAATTTATTTTCGGTCTCAGTTTTGTGTTTAATCTTGACTTCATTTTTGTTTTGTTCAGGTTGGGCAGATAATCAAAGATGAATGCATAGTGGCAGTGTATGAATTGTTGGACAATTTCTGTGAATTCATCCTCATCCATCTTCCTTACATCCGCAGACACAAGTATGCCTTGAATTTCCAACCACTTTGCATCCCCATCTAATGATCTGATTTTTTTCTTTCCTAGTCTTTTTTGTTTTCCCTTACTGTGATTTTAAATGATAGTATTCTTCTGTAATTTGGTGGTTCCAGGGACTGTCCAAATGACATAAACGAAGCAGTTTCGAGTCTTATATATGCTTCTGCAAGATGTGGGGATCTCCCTGAGCTTAGGGTGATCAGGAAGCTCTTTGGTGAACGATATGGGCAGAAATTTGCAGTGACTGCTCTTGAACTATTCCCTGGGAATCTTGTGAACCATCAGGTTGTCAAGTTATTACAATTTGCAGACTATTTTAAGGGATGTTTCTGCTTATTTCATAAGGGCTCTTCGAGTGATGCATGAATAGGAGAACTAACAAAATCTGAAATCACAGGTGATTGAGAAACTCTCCCTAAAGTCAGTGACAGATGATATGAAGCAAAGATTGGTCAATGAAATAGCCAGGAATTACTGCATCAAACCAGAGGTTTTAGCAATTGAGTACTATTCTGAATGGCAACAAAAGGTAAGTGCATACTTCTATCAACATAGTTAGACAAGTTTACTGAACTTAAACTCTAAGTCCTTTGTTTTGTGAACCTTAGGTGAAAGAAATTAGCGGACATAGAGTACTTGATACAGATGTTCAGACATATAATGAAAGAACTGAAAGATCTGAATTGCAAATTGTAAATGTGGAGGAGATAGAACGAGAAGTCGTAGATGTTGATTCTAATGTATCTAGTACTTCTGCTGGTTCTTCATTAGCTATGCAAGTTGGCCCAACTATATCAGAGTCTTTAATGCATGATAAGCCACAGATTGAAGAGAATTGTGCTGAAGTTGATTCTCCAAGTATGTCTACTGTGGGCACTGAAGAAAGTCAGAGCAGTACTGTTGGCAGCACGACAAGAGACGGAGATATAGTGATTTACATGGATGACATAGAAGAAGTTCAATCATTTACAGCAAGAAGAGATGGAGACTCCCAGGACCAAAGAATTTTCAAGTTCAAAGCTATCGAACCCAAGAGGGAGAATCTTGAAAGCAGTTGTGATCTTAGTTATGTGGATTGTTATGAAACATGGAGTGAGAGTTCAGAGTCAAAAAGCTCCAGGAGAAGTTGGAAGGGAAGTGGGAAAAGGCCGCGGAAGAGATCAGTGTGTCAGGAAAACCAATGCTTGAAAGATAATGAATGTTTAAGTTACTATGGCAGAAAGCAGCAGAAGAAAACTCTGGTGGGGGAAATTGAAAGTTCATATTCTGCAAAGAAGTGTCTGAAGCAACCTTGTCACATGAAAATGGGAGCTAACATTTTGTCATGCAAGTGTGGGTGTGATGGAAAGAGACTAAGCTGTGGCTGCAGCCTTGAACATCCATGTTACTTTTGCACTGGCAATGGCAACAATGTTGCTTGTGATGTTCTGCCATGGAAGCAAAAGAGAGGAATTACAACTAGGGTGGGAGTTTCAACTCATGGCCGTGAAGTACAATTGAACAAGGGAATGGAATGGCCTGATGTGCCCCAGGAACCAATGAGGAGGAGGAGCTGTGGCAATGAAGCTATGGTGTACAATGTTTTCACATATCCAGACCACCACCAACCAAATATGCGAAACAAAGCGCTCAGAGAAACCGTGGAGGAATTGGAATCAAGTATTCAATGCAGGCGTGCCTCGTATAGTTCCACCTCTCCAAATGTGGTTAGTTCTTGGAGCGCAAGAAAAGAAATGGTGCCTCCTTATATCAGAGCCGTGACTATGCCACCGGAAAGAGCAAAGGACAATCACAAAGATGACTTCCAACGATCCTTTTCGGATGCCTTCCAATATCCCACTCATGTTCACCCCAAATTGCCCGACTATGATGATATAGCAGCTAAATTCATGGCACTCAAGAAAGAGAGACTGCAAAGTAAGCCTCGTTGCAGCAACCGGCAACTTTAGCTTAGCTGAGCACAAAGGCAAGTCTGCACTGTGTAGGTGTATGAAAAGGATCACTACAGCTTTGTATTCTTTCAATTCAGTTTCACATTTCTATTATTGAGGATCTCTAGTTAATTTTCTTTCTTTTAGCCACTGCCCCTAGAACAGTTTGTTCTTATATAATGATATATGGTAGGATTAATAACTCTAGCTTAGCTGGGCTAATCTGCTAGAAAATTTTACTTTCAGTGGGCCTAACCTAGTCCAAAGACCTTTTCTTTTACACAAAAACGATATCGCTTTAGCTACAAGCCTCTTCGGACAAAAAATTTCAAGTACACAACATAAATATCTACATGGATTTGTTGCAACCTCCTCATATTTATATTTATTGTGCAGAGTGGACCAGGTTTCACATTAATTCCAATAAGCATTCCTCTCAGTTTTCACATCAATTTCATGTGTGTAGCCACTATGTTCCAATGAACAAGAACAACCCCACACAAAACATGTCGCATTCTAGACTCCAAGACATGTTTAAAACTATAAAACAAACCGAACCAACACTGGGGTGAATTTAATAATCAAATCCTTATCCATGGATGATTAAAAGATCGTATGAGAACAAACAGTAATTGGAAGTCGATACGACGTCGCATTTGGACCTGTTTGCATGCGCAAGGCAATGCGTCCAATGCGCAAGGAAACGACACGGCGTTACTACTGGGCCTAGCTAATGTCTGCAAAACCGTCCTTTTTCGGTTGAAACCGAAACGTCTCTGTTGGATAGAATCGAAACGTCTGTTTTGAAGAGAAGTAAAATAAGATGAGAAACAGCAGAATTTTGTCCCTCTGTTGATTTTACCGGGTTCCTGTATGTGCAAATTTCAACCACATTTGTACATCTCATCTCGCTCCACAAAGGGGTAAAAGAGTAATAAAAAAAACAAAACTTAAAAGCTAAGAACAACTCGAGTAAATTAAAAACAAAAAACCAAGAGTCTTGATCTCTTCAATGCCAACAAAAGAGCTGATCTGAGCCGTCAAAACTGAACCGTTTTTCTTTCACCGCTCAAGCCACTAAATCAAGCCCCAGCTCCATTTTACACCCGCCGTCGTCAGCTGAGGACCTACCGCCTAACCCATAAGCATCGATCCTCCTCTTCTTCACCGGAACCACGTGGTGCGCACGTGACTGCGGTTCCAGCCCCAGCGTTAGCTCCAGAGCCAACTCTCCTTCCTGAACCGGCTCGCTCCGCTTCCGAGCCGACTCCGGCTCCGGTCGAAATAACAGCTCAGCCTCAGCCGTTTCGGACGAAACCATGCTCTCCGTTTCCTTGCTTTCGCCGTCCACGTTGGCGGCCGCCTCGGACTGGTGACTCAGCGACGACTCGTGACTCGTCGACCGGTTGAACTCGTCCGCACAGCACCCCGCGCAGCTCGGTTTGGCCGAGTCGTCCGCTCCGGAGCCCGACCCAGACCCGACCTTGCTGGGCTTGGGCTTGACGACGGACCTCTTGAACCGGTACCGAGTCTTAGCCTGCTTCGGCTCGTTCGACGCGGCCGAGTTCTCGTCCTTGGACACGTGGCGAATGTCGTAGGCCTTGAGAGGTGGGCCATGTCCATCAGCGGCAGCTTCAGATGTAATCGACGTGATCGGCTGGCCCTTCAGCACGGCTTCTACGGCGGCTTGGCAGAGCTGCCAGCTTCCGGACCACAGCAACCCGACCGACCCGTAAATGGGGTTCACAATCCGCCCGCATGCCTCGTATAACAATGATCGAAAGATGGCTGTAACAACAAAAAGAAAAAAAACCGTTAGCTCCAGTTTCTGTTTGTTTCTCGGGAAAAGAGAATGCGAGAAAATGCACAAGAGAAAAATACTGACCAGGACGGAGGTGTTCGGGGCCGGCGTTGATGAGGTTCATGAGGCCGGCGCGGCCGTAGAACTTGGCGAGGAAAACGGTGGCGTTTGCTTGGGACTCGGGGCTCTTAATCCACTGCAAGCAAGGCCTGATGCTACAATTCTCACTGCAGCCTTTGCGGAGTATTCGGCATCCATTACAACTCATCCGCATTTTCGCTTCTTCTACTTGTTGTTCTAAACACAAAAGACCGATCTTGAAAGAGCAGAGAGAGAATAAAGATGGGATTTTTCTTGTTGGGTTTTTGGTTTGAGAGAGAAATGGTTTTGGGTTTTTCGATTGGGAGAGAAAGGTGAGGTATTTAAGTGGGAGAGGGGAGAGAATAGGAAGCGCTGCTGGGTTTAACCAGGTGGTCTGCCCACTGGGGAGACGCAGTTGTTTTTTATTTATTTTATTTTTCTACAAAGGGAAGGACACTGGTTTCCACATTCAAGGAGGGTTGGCCTTCTCTCTCTCCTCCTATCCTCCTATCCTCCTATCTATCTATCTATCTCTCTCTCTCTTGAACTTGAACAACAATTTACTCTATTTTATTCCATTTTCATTATTTTAATCAAACTCCCAATTTCCTCCACAATTCTCGGTCTCAGCGCGTGACGCGAACTCCCAATTAATGGGACTCCTTGGATGTTCTCATTGGGGTGGGGGAGCACAGCCCTTGTTGGGATGAGTGTCCTTGGTGAGAAACAACTTTGGTTCTCTTGTTATTTTTACCATCGGGGTGGGACAAAGGGGTGAGGGTATAAAGGTCATTTGAGAGGATGAAGGCCAAAAAAGATGGACAGGTGGTGGGGAAGAGGCATGCAAATAGGTACAAAAATAGAGGAAAGAAGAGAGCGGCGCGTGGCAGGCACGGTGAGGTGTCAGAGTGCGGTCGAATCGCCACATATGAGTGGAGTGGGGCCCAAGGAAGTCGATTTGATGTTTTTTCGGATTAAAATTAAAAAAGTAAAAATTGAAGGAGTAGAAAAAGGCTGGAAAAGAGCTCCTGGTTTTCGGGAGGTCGTACTGGTTTCGGAAATAAAAACCGGGTGAAGTAGAAAACAGCGTACCGGTTTCTGGTTTTGGTACGGGACTGTGGGCGCGCTACGTGACCCATTCGCCAACGGTTTTGGAGGGTCTTCTACGTTCTCACTCACACAACACTCATTTTCTATCTCCTTTTTTCGTTTTCTTTTATAAATTACAAAATTCATGCTTATCCTATAAGACAGGACGCTCAACTTGATTAGTTTATGCCATACCTGCATCCAAACACCACTCCCCACGTAACTCCATTTCGTTTTTTGTTTTATTTTTTTTTAAAGGAGGTGAAAAATGGAAAAGCTACACCAACCTTTTCACACGCTGGTTTTGTTCGTTTTTTGTTTTGGGTATATCCGATACTAAGAAATGGACAGCTCTCAATTCAATCAATATCGAATTCATGTTTTGGATTGAATCAAATTTGGATCTATGAGATTATTAGGTCATGTTTGAAACATTAATTTCTTTATTGATAGAAGGTTGGAGAGAAGGTTGTTAGCATCCCCTATATAATATAATCCAGTTTCTTGCCTATATATTGGTTTGTGAGTAATTAAATTAGATAAACCACATTAGAGCATGCATTGGCTAAATATTAATAATCATATCTACTCCAAATAAGTTAGTTCAAAGAAGAAAAAAAATACCGAGGTGGTTTTGCAATAGTACGGGTTCAAACTTTGATATTTGTGTAATGTGTGTAAATTTAATATATAATTATCTCTATTTATATTTTGTCCCTCCTAATTCCTCACCAAATGTATGCGATAAGTGGGCGGCTAGAAGGACTTGGAAACAAATGAATTCCAGCTTCCTACCACATGCGACAATTAATTAATTAATTAATTAATTAATTAAAGGGCATAATGTTGATCAGCAGAATATTTGAATTTTTAATTGGAGAAAGAAAGGGCTTGGTGAATCTTCTGTAAAACCGAGGACAGACAAGTGGTTGAAGAGAAAGGTGGTAGATCAGTTTCATGCACGAGGAGAGGCTCCAAAGTCGTGGGTCATGGACACTTCATTATATCACGGGGGCAAAACGACACCGTTGCACCTATCTAGGAGCTCACTCAGCTCCCCGTTTTTAGGAGGCACCAAATACCATTACCACCTTTCACAAAATCTGTGTCCTGTGCAGCTGTGTTGTGCCTACTCTCATTCATTTCGTTGAAAACAATGGGGAAAGGATAAAGTTGGTGGCTACGAGGTACCCTCCTAAATTGGAAAATAATCTTCGTCGCATTAAAAAAATGTTTTGCACTTTAAACCAAACCATTAATTCATTCATTAAGACGCATGTTATGATTATTAATTGAGTATCTTTTTCTTTTTCTTTTCTTTTTCCCCATTTTTAGTCGATCGATGGAAAAGTTCAAGCGTTATTTCTGTCCACAAACTGCTTGATTAATTAAGGTTTATAGAATATTAAGTAGTTCGTTTTTTCCGCATTATAAGTTAGGTCAGTTAATCATGACAGTGAATCTATCCCTTTATACTTAAATTTGAGTCTCATTTCCTGTAAATTGAATTAATTTAGAGTAATTTATAGCTTGTATAAAAAAAAATATTAATCAAAGATTAAGTACCAGCACTAGGCATCTAAAGGTGAACAGCTTGCGCATGTCGTGTTTGATTAGTCACAACTTGCATTATCATATATACATCTTTCCCAAATAAATGAAAAACAAGTTGTAATATCATATATTAATTCACATTAGTTAGTTCAGGGTTCATGTGAATTTGTACACAAGATTTGGAGCGTCCCGTTTTCTTTTAATGATGGTTTGCTTAGTAAATAATTAACAATATTCCTTGTAATGATGGACGCGCAACCACATTGATTAATTAAGTAAGTTTTCATGTACGATTGTAAATAGGAACAACTAATCGAACATTTGCATTAGTTTAATTTAAGTTGGCTTTCTTGCATAGGATGAAATCCACTAATATAGTAATATAGAATAAATATTTTTTTAGAAGAAGTCATGGGTTCAAGTCCCTGGATTCTGGATTCGACCAGGTATGAATCCTATTCATATGTATTAAACTTCTCTTTGAAGTTTGAACCCAAATGTGAGTCAAGCTTTTATACAGTATACGTAGCGTGAAAGGCGATGTTCATGCAAGTTGCAAGAATTTTTTTTTTTTGTTTGATCTGAGGTTTTGTACTTTCCTACGTGATTTATCAATTTCTCTGAACATGTTATTGCAAATTAAGTGGCGCTAATTACAGCCATATTTTATGTAATTTGCAGTATGCTACAAGATGGAGAATATGTAGGCGAAGGTAAAAATAAAAAAAGAGGGCACGTGGTTGATTGTGTTTTCCACGGAAAGGCGGAAAGTTTATTCTTCTCTTAATTAACAATGTAATTAATTTAATTGCCTGACGCTGAGAAGTTGGAAGACAAAGACCTCAGTGCATTATTTAAATATGAATATAAGTTTGGCATCTAATCTTTTGATCCAACTTGGTGGGTTCAGATGAACACTAACAAGAATTACAACAACCAAACAAGGTCTTGAAGTGATGTGACTTTTGTTATACGATGTTGTTTTTGTTTATTATTTATTTCCCATCAGATTTAAAGCGTATCTAAGTATTTAAAAATTCGATATTATCCTGATAGGCACAGGCAAAGGAACAGGCACCAAACCGAAGGGTCTTCTTCTTCCTCGTTCTGATTCTGAAGCAGACTGTGATATACGTGTAGGGCAAGCAGAAGGGATGGTGAAAATGTGCCCTCCATGCACAGGTCAGGAATAGAGATGAGATGTGAGGAGAGAGCGCGTGGCAGAGGGAGGGAGGGAGGGAGGGAGGGAGGGAGGAATCAATTGGCTGCCTGTCCAATCAGCCATGTGGGATGGTCGTCGAAATGAAAATGAAAAAGAACATGCCTATTTCCAAATTTCCCGAATTTGGTGTCACAATTGAGCTCCTGGTTTTTGGGAAGCTTCTTCTCTCTTTGTTTTCAATCCAGTGGTCAAAATTGTCAAGATGCTCAATACCACTCACTCTCCCAATTCCCCTAGTTTTTCTTTTTTGTTTTATTAGACAATGATTCCATCAAGGGACTTGAGTCTGTGGGCGCCTCATGTTCAACAGTAATACGTAGATGTAGTAGTTGTGGCTCTACCTATAAACAATCTCATTCTTAATTTCTATATTCTTTTCCTCCTAAGTTATATTCTCATTAATGGCCTTTGGCCTTGATCTAGTATTCAATCTTGAATAATGATTTAGGTGTTTATTGTGAGTGATGTTCGGATCGAGTTGAACCATTATGATAACCGTGTGCGTGAGTTTCCCATCTTCTCTTTTCTAATTTCGGCAAACATTTATTAATTTTTGAAGTAATTATTCTTAAGTAAAAAGTCCACATTAACTATTAACAGCAGAGGATAACCATGGGCCATGGCCCAAAAGAAGATAAGAGATAACTCAGCCAAAAGAAAAAAACACTAAGGACAAGAAATGTAGATTACTATTTTACCCCTCATACAGTAATACTCTAGTCTATACGGAAAAGCAAACGGAACACACGAGAAGGTGGAGGAAAAAGCCGTGGGTTCTGAAACACAAGAACACGTGTAGGACGGAGAGGAAAAGATGGAAAATGTGGCATCCATGCAAATGCAAACGGGCTTCAAAAACACACATGGACGCCACGAGAACAGCGCGTGACGACCACGTCAATTGTTTCAGAATGTCAGAGTCCACCCCGCGTTACGTGGAAAAACGTCACCTGATTTTATTTTTATTTTTATTTTTCTCTCCGCTCCGTCACAATTTTAACTCCTAAATTTTAGGAGGCTGTTTATGCAATACCGCTGTTGGTTGGGTGGGGGTGGGTCTATCATCTATGGGCGCTTTCTCATCAAACCCAGGACCCAGCCGCTACTACTTTTGTTCTTCTCATTTTATTTATTTATTTATCGCATATTGCGTGCCATAAAAATCCAAGCACACAATATTTTGGTTATCATTGAATACAAAATTCAGCGTTACATTAGAAAAATGTGTTGACTGTGTTGATTAATACTCTACTAAGGTTCAATGTATTGACTCATCTCTGGTTCTTACATGCATCTGTTTTTCCAGCTGCTTTTTCTTTTTCTCTTTT